GCTTGGCCAGCACCCACCCCCTAAAAACCAGTGGAGTGAGCTCAGGAGGTGCTGGGGTAGAACTAGTGCACCCCTTTGTTGTCCAGAGGATCCCTGCCTTAGTTTGCAAAGATGTCAAGACTCCTTCTTTTGCATTTCCTCTCTAGGGCTCACAGCTGGATCTCAGGAGGTGCCAGGCCTTCAGATGCAGGGACTCGGCCCTTCCTCTGGTACTGCTGGATGTAGCACGAACATTTCTTTCATTCCTGGGGACAGGGTATCTCCTCTTCAGCATATGGGTGTTAGTGTGAGTCTTAGCCACGGACTAAGGGAAAAATAGCACCAAAATGTCAACTGCTGACATCTGACCACTGCCAGTATGAGAGGCATACTCCTGCAGCAGGTATCAGAGATGCTTGATGTTTTGCTCTGGATGACCCTGATCTCAGAGTGACTCATTGCTAAAGTTTGCTCCAGGCGTGACAGGAACCAGCAGAGTGAGTTCCTTGTCCAGCAGTGAGTTACATGACAGTTAACCAGTGCTGAGGATGTAAGTTTGAAGCCCCACCCCTTGGACTTTCCCTAAATTATTCTGCATCGAATATGTGCATTTTCTGCCCCTGCCAGGAGGCCCTAAGAGGTGGGAGTGTTCCCAAGGTCAACATGCAATGATTAAACTGAAGAGCCTGGCAACTTTCAGCAGGTGGCTCTGGTATGTTCTTCCATGGCATGTGCCCACCACATGCTGTAGCATGTGCATGATATGCAGGGAGCAGTAACTTGCCAGAAAAAGCTTTCCCAGGTGGAATAAATTGCATTCCCTTAATCCCAAACACCTGCACTAGTCCTCAGGCAGGATTGATAACTGAATGCTCTGCTGAGCTCTCAAAAGAGACTGGTCAAAAGACACCAGCTCTCTCCTAGCTGGTTGATATTTCTGCTGTTCTGACCTGACAGTGACAAGATGGGTCCTGCTGGGGCTGTGCTGGCTCTGCCCACATTGTCATTGCTAACCAGAGTGACAGGCAGTAATTGACTGAGTTTGATAGAGGACAGCCCCAGTCTGGTGTGCAAGGTTGAGTGCTGGTGGGATTTGGACTTCCAGTGTTTGTTGCTGCTGGGGAATGTGGTCCCAGGCAGAAGAGCCAACTGAGGGGGGGGCCGTGCAGGCAGGAATGACCAGCTGCATGAAGATGCCCTGGCAGCCGTCCTGCACTGCCTGACCCAGGAGCTGCAGCCAGACCCAAGCTGGCAGCGCCAGTGCGTTGCTCAATAAGCTCACAAAGCTGGGGCTGTGGCAGCAGGGCAGCGGAGGTCGCGGTGCGGAGTCGGATGGGAAATGCGCTCAGCGGTGGGCAGGCACCACGCCCTCGGAGAGGAACCATCCAGAAGAGAGCGAGAAAAAAAAAAGGTAAAGAATGCGAGGCATGTGCTTAGCCTGACAGAGGCGGTCGGTGGCAGACCCCAGGGAAATGAAGGGCGGCGAGGGGGGCGCGGCGGGGCTCGGTCCGGGCCGGGCGGTGCCGGGGGCGCTGCCCCCGCTGTGGAGCACGGCTGCCACCGCATGGACGGGGCCGGGACAGCCGCGGGAGACGGGGAGGCGGGGCTGGTCCACGGGCTCCCGCAGGGTGGCCCAAGTCCGGTAAAGCATGGAAGGCTAAGACTGCAGTCCTTGAAGCACCCCACGGGTCGCAGCTGCAGAATTTCCCCCAGCTGGCGATGGGCAAGTGTCTAAGGTTGGCTGGACTGCCATCGCGGAGAGGTTTTGACACCATCCTCATGGGATTCATTCAGAAAGTCAGAAAAGGTCAATGATGCTCCCAGTGAGCTTTCCCAAACATGGTAGCCCTGTACCAGTTTGTAGCCAAGAGCCACATGCTATAAAATTCCCAGGGAGCTGCCCAGCAAACCTAGGTGGTCACAATAGTGAGTTTAAGGGCTTCACTAAACTCATAAGCACATAATTGGTGAGTAGATGAAAAGCACTGAAGTATGAATAATAGCTAATGAAGCCACACAATGTTTCAGTGCAAGATTTACTGTGAATAAACTGAAAAGAGCACAGGTTGTACCTATGCTTCAGAGATTAAATGCTTAAAGTGCTGGTGTCTCTAAAAGTGGGAACACCAGCAGGAATACAAATTCAGGAAGAGGGAAACAATTTCATAATAGAGACCTTCTTTTATTGGTCTCCCACTATTACAGGAGAATTATAAATTCTTCTCCCATTCTTTTCTTTATGAATTATGGTATTCCATCAGGAAGCTGGATGTAGCAATGCTATTTTCCATCATGCTTGCTTCTGTTAACAAAGCTGATTGAAACTTCCATCTCATATGACACATCTGATGCTTCTGTTATTTTTCCCTACATGTTAGCCTATGTATTAATGCAACATTCCCCAGTTTAGGCCCGTGCTGTCTCATGAGTTGCTTTTATTCAACTACCTCTTCCTACTTCTGTGGATTCAAACTGTTCCTTACACCACCTTATCACAGAAGCATATTGAGTGCTATTAGGGAAGACCTTTTTGGGAATAAACAGATGAGGTATTAAATTCTTGGATGCAGACCTCTTCCTGTTGGGGTTGACTATTGAAAGGCAGGGTGTATCTGTCAGGAACCTGGTGGGATGGAAGTCTGGAGGTCTTTCTTGCTCAGTTCTCTTTGTCTGCCATGGACGACCCAGCTGATTTCTTTGCCTCTGTGCCTACTTTCACTTTCTTCATGTTCACTTTTCATTATTTTCTATTCATATAACCTGTAAGTCCCCTAAGGGAACAGGTTATGCAGAGGCTAAGGATTACTGGATAGGCCTTTATGGTACCATTACTTTCTCTAGTTGTATAACACTGATTCTTTACCTTGTGCATAGAGATACTGAAGGAAAACAGCAGTGGTCTGTCTGAATAGTTAGTGATTCGGGTGAAGGGTTCAGAGGAACAGGCTTTCAAAGAGGTAGTTGAAAAGTCAGCCAGTGCCTTTTCAGGAGCAAACCAAGAATGATGAACATTCCTTCCTGTTGTCACACTTATTCAACACAAGCTTGGAACCTGCTGTATTCTCAGGGGTATTATGCAGAGACTCCCTTGCATCTGGCAGATAGCTGGATTGGGGAAGAAGTCTGAGTCCTGCTTTGTCTTTGCAGAGACAGTGACAGGTGTTTGCTTGTGATGTGGGACACAGGCTGTGTGTGTGTCTCTCTTACTGGCAGTGCCAAATCTGGGTCAAAGGAGCAGCCTGTATCCAAACACTTGCTGCTGGCACTGACAGCAGCCCAGCCTATGAGAAGCGGCTCTTTGAGCACCTTGAAGGAAGCAGCCTGACTCTCTTGACAAGTGTGAGTCACCTCTGGGAGTGATCTGCAGGTTGGTTGCCACGCAGGGCTGGTTGCATTGCATAGGTGGAAGTATGTTTTGCTTTGAAGCCAGGCCTCTCTGGGCACTTATACTTTTTTAGGTGTGGTGCTCACCTGGGTGTTCCTCCCTGCCCGTGGTATTTCAAAGGGAGACTTTCTCTTGGTAATGCCATACTAGGTTGGCCCAGACAGTTCCTAAGAGCACAGGGCATGCTTGCTGCTTGTGTGTACGTGGCAACATGCACACACATGAATATGCACATCTGTGTGTATTGCAATGAAGATTTAAGAAAACAACATCCTGCAGAATGACAGTAAAGGTTATTTATAATAACAATTGTATTAACTGATCAAGAAAATTTAGTTCTATATTCTGAAAAGAGGAAAAATTACCATTATGTTGTGAAGGACCTGATAACTTTCCTGTATACCCACTTCTTTCTGCTCAGCTGGAGTTGCACATGCATGTTCCCTGTGGGTTTGCAGCCAGACAATGAAATCCCCCGAGGGTCACTGCACAGGTACGTGAATGCAAGAGAGCTCTCCAGTATGTTAGGAAATATGTGTTAGTAAACATGTATTTCTGCAAATGTTTATGGAAATTCATTACAAGTTGCACAACACGGTAACATGTTTCTATAGCTCAATTTCAATCTAAGATATCCTTCACTCTTCACCTTTTTCTCTTCCTCCTCAGACAGATTTATCTTGATGGATTGGAAACATGGGGGGTGCTTACTGATGCATTTTGAGCCCTGTGATTATCTACAGGTGCGAGAGTCATGTTGCTTCCCTAGGTAATCTCATAAAAAGTGCAACCCTCAATAGCCATGGAAAGGCACCTCTTCCAAATTATATATCCAGATTTGAGGAAGGACCTGGCTAAGGCTATACATTCTATTATAGTATCATCACCGAGACAAGTGTGTCTTTCCCGGGTTAAGCCCTACGACCCTCCAGGGGTACAGTCACAGGATTTCAGCACCTGTGGTGCCTGGGGCAGCTTTTTCTTGCTGGCCAGGGGCAAGTTGAATGCAGGCAATCCCAGTTGTTAATATTGCAGGGTTTGCCTGGTGTAATCCTGTTTTGTTGGGTTTGGTTGTTGATTTTTTTGATTGTTTGTTTGTTTTGTTTGTTTTTTAATCAGGGCCAGCAGGCACTGCATGGCTTATGGAAATTCTGCGAAAGCAGAAGATTTCAGCCCCTTGTTTCCAAAACGAACACTGCATTTATCCCCGTTTTTCACTCCTGCTTTTACAATGACTTAACGAAGAGGATGCTCCGCGCTGCTGCCGTCGCTCACAGGGAGCGCTTCTGCACTTCGGCATTTCACTGAAACTTCATGACTGCCCCGACGCTGAGCAAAGGCTCCCGTCCAGCCCCTCTCCTCACGGAGCTTGCACGGGGTCCCACCGCCGCTTCCAGCCGGAGCTTCCCCTGGATCTGACCCGGGCTGCAGGAGCATGAGGGGTCCAGCTACATCCCAGCCGCCTCCTCCCCCTTCCAACTCTCCATCCTCAGGGGCCGTCCTTTAAGCAGCCTCTTCTCACGACGGCATCTAAGTCTTATCGCCGTAACGAAGCAGAGAATGACTCCTAGATTTGTCGGTGTTCCCAGGGCTCCTGGGATATTAGGGCTGACAGTGCCACCCCTCTGATCGGTGGCACCAGCTGAGCTGATTATAAAAGAGAGGATGCTTGTTGTCTGGGGGGAGCTGCTGGTGTGCCCTCTCCTGGTTGCTGAGGCAGACAAGCTGTTGGCATTCACTGATTATCTCTCTGCTAGCTTACAATTCCAGCCTGGGCAGGCAACCTTCACAATTCCAGTTAGAAAGTACTTCTGCTGGCAGTGACTAGTCATGAATTCATCTTGCCTAAACAACAGAGCTGAGAGCCACTTTAGAGCATCAGAGGAGCACGAACTGGAGACAGTGGGGAAGAAAGCTTGGGACAATCCTGTTTACAATGGCTCTCCTTCTACCTCCCTGAAGATTCAAACCATCTACAACCCCAAGTCTATCCTGGAAAATCCCTACGAGAACTTTGAAGAGGTTGGGGATCCACTGCCCTACCAGGAAGAACAGAGCAAAGCTGTGGATCGGAAGACAAGTCCTTTCCTCAAGTGCTTCTTCTACATCTTCAGAGGCATAAGAGGTAAAGCTCTAACATCCCACTAGAAAGGATTTTATAGCCCTCAGAAAGAACAATTGTATGCGGGAGGAGAGAGGGGATGAAGAAGGTAGAAACCTCATAGCGTCTGTGTAGCCCAGGACCCTGCTCAACAAGCAGTAGCATTACTCCAGAGATCATGTTTGGCTGACCTGGCAGGAGCATCCTCATTCCATGTGCCTGGCTATAGCTTCATGGTTTGTCCTGTTACCTTTACTACAAGGTTGGAGACTCAGTGGATGTGCTCAGGGTTATGCAGTGAATCTGAGCTTTGGACAGAGCTTAGATATTCGGAATCCCCAGGAGTCATCACTGTGATGATGAGCCCATTCTGTCTATGATTGCATTTTCTAGACAGAGTGGTCTGGCCTCTGTATTACAGTAACTTAAGAACTGATAGAAATATCCAGCAGAGAAAATCTAGCACTGACAGGACTGAAATGCAGGGGATTACAGGAATGTATCAAATAATGGTTTGCTTTAAGATAGCTGAAAGAAAGAGGTGCTGTTTTCCAGTTTAAAAAACAAAGGGGAATGAAATATTATGTAGGCTTAATCAGAGACACTCAAAACCCTGGGAGCAAGATAAGTCTCCTGTAAGTATGCAGTCCTGGGCAAGGGCATTATTTGAACAGTTTATTATAGAAGGCATAAAATCCTAATATTGTAAAAACAGGAAGATAAACCAAGAAACTGTTTCTTGTGAAAATTACATTTTCTTGCCAGTGTGGCTTTTCTTCTTTCTTCTTTTCTTCCTGACTTGGAAGGTAAGAACCTTTCTCAGAGCTGTACCCACTAACAGCACATGTGAGTGAATAACAGTATAGCTTGGTCCTGATTTGCACAGCCCCTCTATGATCAATATTTATTTGTCATTGTCATTACAGTCTAACACTATCTATTCATGTGGAAGTCAGAGCTGAGGCTTTAAAGGTTTCTCCTGGCCAAGGAACAGTGCTGGGTGGGCTTGGTGGGTGATTACAGATTTCCTAAAGAAATAACTGAAAACAAACCTCAAGTGATGTATTACAATTGCTGGATGCAATCTGAAAGGGTACTGGACCAGCCTCATGGTCCTTCAAGTATCATTTTGGGCAAGTTTCTGAACCAAGTTCTCAGGGATATTTGAGTGTCCCTGAAGTTAAGTGTTCCTTAGTACCCTTCTGTTCTCAAAGCAAAGAAAGTCTGTGGCTCTGCTTCAAACATATAGATAGTAAGGTTTCCCTGCCTCATGGAAAAAAAACCAGCAAACCAAACCTGTTAAAAGATTGTGATGTAGTCATCTCATCTGAGAATGAAGGTGGTCATTTAAATATGACCTGAATAGATGGGTGAGTTGTTTCCACTTGTTTTTCTGCATTGTGGAGATTCCTGTAGACCACATGACACTCTCTCCTCCACAGGAGTTAATCCAGATCTTCTCCAGGCTGTCATTTCTGTTGCTGGTCTGGATTGTCCAGAACAGGCTATTAGTTATCTGCCCAGGAGTGATGGCAGATTCTGGAACAGTCACGACAGTATTTGATGGTGCAAAAAGATCTCTGATCTGCTGAGATGCCAAAGACCTGTCAAAATGACAGGAGTAAATGCACACAGACCACTAAATCACTTTTGCTCACTCCAGAGAAAAAAAAAAGTGGTTTTTCATCTGCAAGAACTGGCTTCAAATATGTGGCCTTTGATCAGCTTTGATCCTGGCTTGCAAGAAAATGATTGCTGCATACTACTGGGGATAGGTATCGGAGCTGAGCTCTCTAGGAGCTGCAGAAAGCAGCAACACTACGGGTATTATCGACATGGCTTCTATCACTAGGCTTTCAATTGGAAGTTCTTATGCCTTTCAACTTCAGGAGCCTTCCAGAAATCACAGCAGAAAGCCATTTCAAAAAGAACAAACAAATACACTAATGGTATCGGGCTGTTCGTCAAACCCAAAATATCAAGGCTCCTTTTAAATGAAGTGTTTCTCTCTTATTGATCAATCCTGGTGACATTTAATGAGTTGCTTTCACTGTGGGAAGAAACAGGATCTCTAGCTGTTGCAATTGGCATAACTGTATTGGATTCAGCAGACCTCCACTGATAGATGACCTAAAGATAATTTGGCTCTAAATTTTATGCTGAAAATATTGAATTGTATTATCTGTATGAGTCTTATGGCCTACAAGAAAACTGCAAGAGTTTTTAGGTAGGCAAGGGACAAACATCTGGAACCTAATGGTTCAATGTGCTGTAAAAGGACTAATAGTTGTAAAGCTAACACCAGATGCAGTTCTGCTACAGAAGTCCTAACAGAAGGTCAGCTGTTGGCACAGTGAGATGAGAATTTATGGTTTCAAGAGACCTTGTGGCAAATCTCTGCAAAGAGTAAGCTGAAAAACAGTAAGAAAAAGTTCAATCCATAATGAGCTCAAACAGAAAATTGGAGAGGGATTTAGCAAAAATAAAAAGCCAATATATTGCAGTTTTGGTCAGCCCCAAGTCTTTTATTCATGTTGGAATGGTTCAAGTTCTTCTTAGGGTTTATTTAACACATTTTTATAGGTCTTAGTCAAGTTTTGAAATGAAAAGTGATTTGGCCTTGAAAAGCAAAAAAATTCAACTCTCCGCAGTGTTCTTTGAGAACAGAACTTCAGCTCCTCACATGGCCCTTCAGAATGGCAACAAAACTTGACAGTCTCTTCATACCCAACAGGTCTGTGGGGCACTACACTGACTGAGAACACAGCTGAAAACAGAGAGCTTTATGTGAAGACCACACTGCGAGAGCTGCTAGTCTATGTTGTGTTCTTGGTGGACATCTGTCTGTGTAAGTAGCTATCATATCTCATAGGCATCATTTCCATGTGCAGTGTGAGGGCAATAATGTGAGATTTTATTATTAGTCTTCCTTGCTCTGCTGTAAATGCTAAATTTATTGTATGTGCATTCACTGCAGCAGGAGGTCGTGCTATTAATCTATAGAATAGCTGCTCCACACAGAAGGTAAAATTACTGGCCGTTGCTAATTGATAATGGTTAGATTTAAGTAGTATTTTCTGATTCACATTATCAATTCTAGCCATTGATTCCACAGTTCTGGGAGAACCTACTCAAGGTTTTTAATTAGTTTCACAGCAAATGTTCAAGACCTAGAGAGCAGCTCCAGAAGCTTCCTGGCACCAAAGATACAGAGGTCAGAGAGATTTTGCCCTCTGAGACTGCAGGGGTGCCTGTGGTGGTAAAGCAGATAGCAGCTCTCACTGTTGTTCTTAGGTGAATTTAATGTGTCCCTGTACTGAATGCTAATGTTAGTGGACTTTGTGTAGATAGAACAATGGCTGTTTGGTTTTGGGAAGGTTCATTCATTATCACAAATGAGCACCTGTGGCACGGGACAGTGAAGAGGATTATATTTCATGGACCCTATGGCAAGAGAGATAGACAGACAATAGCAACCTAAGTTACTATCACACTGGCCCAGGGAGACAGTGCTCCTGTCACTCTTCCTAAAGAAGCAAGAGGTGCACACAGACGTACGTGTTGTCACACAGTGACTCATCCAGAAGGTGTGGGGGGGATTGTGTCTTGCACGTCAGCTGCTTTATTTTCCTGCTGTGCTTTCAAGAGCAGGACATGTTCCTAGTGATCACCATGATGGATGTTTTTCTGAAGGAAGAGGAGCACTGGAGAGTTGAAACAACATGCTCATGGAAGTTAGAGCCTGCTGCTGTTGGGGTTTCTTTTTACATGAGAACTTACCTGGAGCTGTCCTCCTGGGAAAAGAGGGTGGTCTCTGTCCCTTCATGGTTTCACATCAGAAAGTCAAAATACAGAACATGGGCTTTGTTCTGAGAAAGAAAATTTCCCTCAGAAATTTTGTCCGAGAACAAAAATTGTTACCTAGAATGTTCAGCTGCATCATCCAGTGGTATTTTCTCTCTCTACTGAACTTTTACAGTCTGTCAGTCTGACAGCTTAAATTCTGCAACATGCAACAAGTAAGTTTGTAAATCCCTAAGAAAGCAAAAGGTCCTAAGATTTCTTCTCCCATGCCTTGCTCAGCTTACCTGTGAAAGTACAAGTTACATATAAAGTGAATTTAGAAATATATCACGCTCCAATATTTAGGTATAAGAAAGGATCCTCCTCTTGTCTCTTCTCTTAGTGACATATGGAATGACAAGTTCAAGTGCCTATTACTACACCAAAGTGATGTCTGAGCTCTTTCTGCAAACCTCTTCAGATGGCCGTGTCTCCTTCCAGTCCATCGGCAGCATGGCTGACTTCTGGATGGTGAGTACAAATCTGGTCCAGCATGGGGAACCCTGAAAATCTCAGCTAGACTGGGACATTCAGTTCCCTCTGAATTTGCTACCTAGTGATTACAGCAAGGCATTTTATTGCCACAAGCTTCTGCCAGCTACTAGCAATAGTTACAATAACATTTGCATGCAAAATACTCACTGACTTAAAATAGCATTTATCCCTCTGAGCCAGAATACTGGCTAGGCTAAGTGTTGTGTGTGCCCAGAAGAGTCCATTTCCCAGTAACTTATCAGCTGAACAGGCAGGACATGACAAAAAAATTAAAGTGATCTGAGCATCAGTTCATTGCACAGATGGGAAGTACTGATCCAGAGAGGCCAAAGGGATTTACTTCATGTTTCCATGTGGTACAAGTGACTTTGAATCCTACAGTTCAGTGTCTTCATGCTGGTGTCTTAGTAATAGGCTTTTGTCCATTTTCACGGCAATTTGAGAACAGCATATTTAACCTGCCTGTAATTCATGCCTGGGCTTGTCTAATCTATAGATTCTTTATGATGAAGCTGGATTAAAATTCGCACTGACTTTTATCCAAGAGAATAAAGGGAAAAGATGTCTGGGGTCTAACATATATCTGCCAAAGAACTGGTGAAGGAATAATGAGAGCACAGTGAAGACCACTGAGTTATTGCAACCACTTATCTCTGACAGACAGAAATTGTTCATCAATTACGTTTGTCTTTTTCTATCATATTAAAACACTACAGCAAACAATGGCACTGTTGTTTCTCCCCCAGTGTTTCCAGGGCACTGGCACATGCTCTTTTCATAATTCACAACTAGTGCCAAGGCAGTTCCTTGAGACTTGTGCTGACTGAAGTGGAAGAGACAAAGAGACTTCAGAGCTTGTTTCTTTATGGGCCCAGGAAGGTGCAGCAGCCATACAACAGGCCTGTGAGAAACCATTGACAACCCTGCTGCCCAGCATCCCTCCTCTACCACCAGCCCTGGTCTTTCCCCTCCTTAACATACATCCAACACAAGCTTCTACTACCTTTGTCTTGGGGAACAGAGAGGGGCAGGTCAGGTCTTACTATCTCAGTCCCAGGCTATGAAAATTCCTCTGTGTGAGCTACAAAGAAGTTGTTCTCCTCTCCCTCCCTTGCAGTATGCACAAGGTCCCCTTCTGGATAATCTTTACTGGACAAAGTGGTACAACAACAAGTCCCTGACAGCGCACAGCACTCAGTCGTACATATATTACGAGAACCTGCTGCTGGGTGTGCCACGCATGAGACAACTGAAGGTGAAGAACAATTCCTGTGTGGTCCATAATGACTTCAAGGAGGAAATCTCAGGCTGCTATGATGTGTACTCAGAAGACAAGGAGGAAAAGGTCTCCTTTGGGCTCATCAATGGAACGGCGTAAGTACATCTAAACCAAATTAGCCTCTTCTAGTTAAAACAAGATCTGCTGAGCTACAGGATGCTGAGGGTGAGTTTCTCCCATAATGCTGGAATTCCCCTTGCAGTCAGAGGCAGCAATTTTGTCTGTCAGTAAGGTCAAGGAAAAGCATAACTTTCCCTGTTGGGAAAGCCATGAAAAATCCAGCAGAAAATTAAGTAGAAATTGTTGCCTGTTTTAAAGAGTGTGAGGTTAAATAAAGACCTTTGAGACTAGATTCATCAAAAGGATGATCCTATTTGCTTTCTTCTGGGATTTCAGGAGCCAAAGAGAACAGCGTACATCCCTTTCATCTTGACAACCTATTTCTCTACAATAATATGAGGTAGCTTCAGTTTAAAAACTCTTTACTTGCTGCATGAGTCTTGATCTGTGAACAAGAAGTTATTGTTCATAAGGAAATATGAGTGCAAGAGTGTTCTAAGCAGACGATTGTGTGCAATGTGTGTAGAAGACAATAGAGCCGATCCTGGAAGCAACTCCCACGAAAATAAGACTGACCTGGCCAATGGATCTCCAAATTTTCCCTCTAAAGAATCGCATGTGTTACTGCTGGGAAGCACCAGACTAGAAAACTAACAATAATAAAGAAATGATGTAGGGTCAGATCTGGAATAGGAATTAAGTGCCAATTCTTTAATTAAAAACTGTTGAAGATATAGTCTAATTTTCCAGGCTACAAGGTGATATCCAAACCTGGGGTGGTGAAACCTTTGCTTATGGTTTGTCTGTTACAGGTGGAAGTACCATTCTGAGGAGGAGCTTGGTGGTTCATCTCACTGGGGAAGACTAACCAGTTACAGTGGGGGAGGATACTACATAGACCTCAAGTTGACCAGAGAAGAGAGTGCTGAAGCCCTGCAAGTCTTGAAGGAGAAGTTATGGCTGGATCGGGGAACACGAGTTGTCTTCATTGATTTCTCTGTGTATAATGCAAATATCAATCTGTTCTGTGTTCTGAGGTAAGCTGAGTCCAGCTGAACATTCTTCAGCTTCTTGCATCTTCCTCAATGCCATGGTTTCTTAAAATGCAAATACTTTATTAAGGTTTACCAGTGGGGTAGGTCTGAGTGGTGTCAGTAGAAATTGCATGGATTAGGAAGAAGTGTTGGTCTTCCTGACATAATCAGTCACACTTTTCTTTATCTTTTACCCTTTCCTGTCACAGGCAGTGAAGCAGCAGAGATATGGCTGTGTACACATGTGCACAACTCTTCCACTCATGGTCTGGTGGATAGCTTATGCTCAAGTTTGATGTCTCTCAAAATCCCAGAGCCTCCATCCTCTTGTTTATAATTATCAGAATTTTCTTGTCCCCTTCAAGGTTAGTTGTTGAGTTTCCAGCCACTGGTGGTGCCATTCCTTCCTGGCAAATCCGGACGGTCAAACTTATACGATATGTCAGTGCATGGGACTTCTTCATTGTTGCCTGTGAAATTGTATTCTGTGTCTTCATCTTCTACTATGTGGTGGAGGAGACTTTGGAGCTGCGTATCCACAAGCTTCAGTACTTCACCAGCATCTGGAACATCCTGGATGTGGTTGTCATTCTGGTGAGGACCCTTACACAAGTTTTGGGGGGAGCAATCGCAGAGAGGTACAAGAGCCGAAATAAATGAAAGAATGTGGGAACTAGTCCAGATAGGACAAGAGCTGGCACAAGTTTTGCTCTAAAATGAACTAGCAGAATAAATGGTGCTCTTCTGTCAAATGTTAGGGGAAAATTCTTTCTTTATAGATATCTGAGAGACTGTGAAATCATTCAGTGCATCAAGACCTTATTTCCATCCCCCATCAGCAGACTGCAGCTGTGGACTGCTATATTAAGGAGTTCTGTGACACTTTAATTTCTGAGGAAAGCATAGGTACAGTGGTCACTGCAGACTATTCCTCTTCCTCTTTGCAGCTCTCCATTGTTGCCATTGGGTTTCACATCTTTCGCACCATTGAGGTGAACAGGCTGCTGGGAGAGTTGCTGAAACACCCCAACACCTACGCAGATTTTGAGTTCTTGGCATTCTGGCAGACTCAATATAACAATATGAATGCAGTCAACTTATTCTTTGCCTGGATCAAGGTATTGTAGTGGGTCTGGGAGGTGCCAGGTCTCCAGTCAGACCTCTTCCCCTAGATAATTTGGCATTTGTCTCTTCCATCCCTCTGAGTAAATGAGTGTAACAGCTATACAACAGAGGATTTTCCTCAAAGTCATATGCTCTGTTTTGCAGTAAATCTGGACAACTTTTCACCCTGCATTCTGAGACCAGTTATTGGTATTGGAAGATAACACCCAGGGAGATGAGCTCAGAGATTGTGGTGGAAAAGTAGTTTTAGAAAATGCTGAGTACAATGTAATTTTGTCCATCCTGTACTATTTTAGTATTCCAGAGGATAATCTTACAAACCATGTTTTCCTTTCACGATGGCCCCTCAGAAGTGGAAGTTACTCATGTGTTGGCACGGACTTTGCATTTCAACCAAAGCATCTTGGCATGGTGGAAAGCCACTCTGTATTTGGGGCTCCTTGTTAGCTTTAAGAAATCTGTCCTTCTAGCTGTCCCTGTTTTATATTTTCCTTTGACAAAGGGAACAAAGCCATATGTTTATGACCTCCAGGAGGACTGCAGCACACCCAGGACAAATATCCTGAACACTAAGCTGGTATTCCTCTAGCCTGGCTTTCTTCTCAGTGCTTTGGTACTATAGTTAACCTCTTGTCTCAGTAAGCCTGCACGTACCTGAGAGAGACTGACCTAGCTGATGGTTTGGCCTAACTGTCCTCATTCTTTCATCCTGCAGATATTCAAGTACATTAGCTTTAACAAAACAATGACCCAGCTCTCCTCCACCCTGGCACGTTGCGCCAAGGACATCCTGGGCTTTGCCATTATGTTCTTCATTGTCTTCTTTGCCTATGCCCAGCTGGGTTACCTTCTTTTTGGGACACAAGTGGAAAACTTCAGTACCTTTGTTAAATGCATGTAAGTGTTATAAGATAGAATCACATAGCTATAATTTTATCAAAAGAATTTTAACTGCTTTCCATCCTTCCCTACAGATGCAAATATGAATGTCAATCAGACACCTGTTTTATCTTATTGTAATACAGCCACAGTGTTTAATAAGTCACTCATAGTCCTCTGGTTGTGACATCTTCACGGACAAAAGAACACAATGAGAAAATTGATTGTAACAGACAGAGTTCTGGTTGTCAGGGTTTATTGGTAAGGATGAGTAGCTGAACCTATATTCTGACTGACTTAAACCCTGCTCTGGTTTGTTCCTGTGCCCATCTGGGCTGCAGGCAGGTTCAGGTTTACCTCAGGACTGTTTGATACTGTAGGATAAATGCATGTGCCTCTGTGTAATCTTGGGTTCTTTCTTTCCTCCAGCTTCACCCAGTTTCGGATCATTCTCGGAGATTTTGACTACAATTCCATTGACAATGCCAACAGGGTCCTTGGGCCTATTTACTTTGTCACCTATGTGTTCTTTGTTTTCTTTGTGCTCCTGGTAAGCAAGAAAATACTCCTTGTCCCTGTACTGACAGCAGTGTTTGAGACACCCCTCCTGACAATCCCCGAGTTAGGTGCAGTGCAAATGCTTAGAGGGAAAGGGAGTTCATTTTGGAACCTTTGCAGTGCAAATAGACCACAGTAGGCAAAGTGTGTGTTATTACAGTTGGGGATTTGATTATGAGGGTGATTAAGGGCCTTATTCATATCTTTTAAGGTGAAGACTAAATCTGACTGGGAATACCACTAATGTGTTAGCTGAATTCAAGGGGATCAGATTAGCTGTTTTGTAAAAGGCAGTGAAAAAAGCATGGGGGACAGACTCTGGCTTTCTAGACAATGGATGCAGAGGGTTGCTCATAACATCCAGGTTAAACATCCATTGTCAGAAATCTCAATGTAACTGAAGATTTTGCAAGAAAAGCTATCAAAGGTAGTATTTGAAATGGTAACAAATACCTCCAATCACTGCTTTCACTGCAAAAATGTGAGAAAACACAGTGTGGCTGAAGCAGGCTTTCCCTTTACGCATTTTAGTCTGCCCAAGAGAGACTCTGTGCAGAAATAGCTCCTTGTTTAACTAAGTCCTGCCTCTTGCTGCTTCAGCTGCTGGAGCAGGCACGATGTCTTATGCATGTTCACCTCTCTTCTTCCCCTTTTTCTAGAACATGTTTCTGGCCATCATCAATGACACCTACTCAGAAGTCAAGGAGGAGCTTTCAAGCCAGAAGGATGAGCTGCAACTCTCTGACATCTTGAAGCAGGTGATGAATATAGCGAAAGCCATGCTACTTTCTAGCTAAATCATGAAGCATTTTTTTGGAGTCCCTAAGCTAAGTCGAATTCACTAGAGAGAAACAGTGATTGCCAGCTCCAGATACATCTTCTTTGAGTGCACAGGACTCACAGTTTCTTTCAGGGATAAATCAAGCTCCCAGATCCTTTAGCAATGAGAAGATGAAAAAGCAGGGGTTGAGGGAATCTGGTTACTTGATGTAGTGGTTCTGAGAGACTTTTCTTCACAGGATGGTCTCTAGGCAAAGTTCTTTCAAGTCCTTGATAGAATGTACTTTGATCAATAACATGGCAGGTCCTACTTTGCTCAGCTGAGCATGTTACAGTGGTGCAAACCTGGTGAGTTACGTCTGGATTTCCCATGGGCAAATTTCAGAAAAGTTCCTGGAGGGTCACAACTCTGCTGTGGGAGCAATATTCTGCAAAGAATAGTATTTGAGCCATTATCCTAAACAGCTGATGGACTGGGAAATCAGATAAAGGAAGAATTGTGAGAAGAAAAGTAGAGGACTGGCATGTTGGTGTCACTTTGAAGGTGTGGTCCCAGTTTAAAGATGAAGTTCATTCAGCAGTGTTGTATTTTTGGAAATAGGTTTTGGGGAATATTTTTGCTTGTGGAAAACTTATAAACTTCCTGTATTACTTAGCATAGGCTCACCTGTGCTCTGCTCTACTTTTGACTGTTCTGTCTGCATAATTCTGTGTCTGTTTGCACCTTTGGTAACAGAGCTACAACCGGACACTCATGAGGCTGAAGCTGAAGAAGGAGCGAATTTCCGATGTGCAGAAAGCACTGCAGAATGGAACGAAAGAATTAGACTTTGAAGACTTCAAGAACAGCTTGAAGGAGTAAGTGAGTCATCTTGGCGGATGCCCGCTTAGCTCTTTCTGTTGGTAACACAGGTAATCTAGATTCTCTGGTTTTCAAGACTGGGAGAGCAATTAGCTCAGATCTGGGCAATGTAAGACACACAAAAAAAGGAGTTTTCTTTCCTCACATGTTTATTCTCCTGGTCTAAATAGGTTTGTGCTACTATCTCTTGCCTATTCGGGGTGTTAAGGTTTGTCACTGGCAGGAGGAAACAATACACTGATTTCAAAAGTTGTGTTTTCAGTGTAATTCTGTGCTTTGAGTTTTCTCTGTCTATTCTTTTCCAGGCTGGGCCATACAGACCATGAGATCACAGCAGCTTTCTCCAGGTTTGACAAAGATGGCAACCACATCCTTGATGAAGAGGAGCAACAGCAGATGAAGCATGACCTCGAGGCAAAAAGGGTAAAAAAGGGCAAGGGAAAAAATCTTCTGTTTGGTAGAGTTTGCACCAAAATGGCCCCAGGAATCTTTTTGGGTTTGTGGTATAAACTAAGCAGGCAACTCAAATACAGTTCCAACTGTGCCTGGGTTACAGCTGAGTATATCGTTGCCTGTGAAGCTGTGTGTTATTCACAGTAAAGCTGGCACAGAGTTAGTATCCAGCTTTGCAGGAATTTCTTTATCTTCCAGGTTGCTCTGAACACAGAGATTGAAAATTTGGGGAAATCCTATGGTGAAAACAACCTGGATGAGAATCTGATCTACAGGGAAGCAAGAGATAACCACACCAATAAAGCCAGCTGGGTCTCCAAAGAAGAGTTCCAAGTGTATGTTTGTGCTGTCTGTAGTTTCACCCCTCTGCAAATGAGGGGTCTGATTCCCTACTGCTTCCTTCCCTAACGTAACTCTTTACAGTGGTGTTGAGCGGTTTCAGTCAGATCTTGTCTCTTTTATCTTGCACATGCATAAATAAGCAGGTCAGGAGACAACTGGGACAATTCTAGTAATGTAGTTTGCTTGTTCATATAAAAAACTGAGCTAAGAAAATTTGCTTTCTGCCTCTTGAATAACCTCTGCAGCTGTCAGTTGGCCACAGGCAATATGCTGTCATGTCTCAGATCAGAAGGTGGCCCAGATAACTGGGCCAAGGGAAGCTGATACCTTTACAGAAGATCCTGTGGGAATAAATATCCTTGATTTACAGCCTAGTTGGCCTTTATCATCCAGGTCCAAGAATAACTCTTGGCTGTTTCTTCCACAGCAGGAGCATGGGATAAATATAGCACAGAGAATCAGGAGATTCTGATTCTGCTACTCAGAAACACTGAGCAAACCACATAGGGCCATATCAAAGGAGAGGCAGGGGCAATATTTAATTATATGGAATTATACTGTGTCTGGACAGTGATCCAAAGTGGCTGGGATCCACCCTAAGCAGAGTCACTGATTACAGATGAAAACACAATACAGCAGGAAGTTATGCCTTCAGTGGGTGTGAATCAATTATCTGATGGGGAGCATTCATTCCTGTTTGAGGTCTGGCCCATTGTCTGTGAGATATTTGCTGCAAATCCAACTAAACATCACAAGAAAAAGCTTACAAATGCTCTCCATGTCTCCCCCAGCCTGCTGCAACGTGTACTGCAGCTGGAACTGTCCATAAACAGCACTGGCTCCAAGACTGATGCAGTGGTGAGCAAGCTCGATGTGCCAGAAAGGAACAAGCTGAAGAGGGAAGACCTGGAGGGCAAACCACTGAATGATGTTAGTAAGGTTGGTAGTCCTCCACCATGCATTTGAACCTGCTTCACATTAGGTGACCAGCCCTGCTCTGTGAAAGTACCTGGTGCCATCTTTGCTTTTCCAATCCCCACTGACGGAAGACAAAAAGGGTCGGGCAGGATCAGCATTCTGTATGATCAAGCCTTTTCTGTTCAAGAAAAGTGACACAAAGCCTCTTGCTTTTATGTCCCCTCAGTTAACTATGGCATCTGTAAACACACTTTCTGGCTCCTTTGAGGCCAAGTTCAATCCTGTGGCAGTGGATGCAATTCACTGACAATTCAGTTGCTTGGTAACTGCTTATCCTCAGACATTAAAAGAAAAATTGAGATAGTCCTCTCCAGGAAGAACAGCTCATGACAGTGTTGTGAACTGTGATCTTAACAACAACTTGCCTGTGGATATTTATCAAACATATGTGATGGAGGACTGTTAGCAGTGTGCTTACAGCATCTCATTGCAGAATTGTGACTTTTGCCAAAGACTGCCTATATCCAGTCATCCAGCGTATTTTGGGTCTTCAGCTTTAAAGTCAAAGGCAGCAAGGCATGTGGGAACCATGTCATTACTTCATGCTTTTATGGCCCTAATAATGAGAATAGCCAAATGGCACAAAGTGACCTGGCTGAGTAAGAAAGAAGCCTTCCTTTTACAGAGTAGTCTTGTGATCACTTCCCATATGAAAGAGTGTCTTGGGAGGTCCAATTTCTCATGTGAATGTACCTGAAAGCTTATTTGAGTAATTGTTTGCAGATTTGCTTTGCCACAGCATTTCTTGTAGAGGGTGAAAAGGGATGAATCTCTCCTCCTTTGTTTAATGCTTGAATGTGCATTCATCACTGTACTGCAGCAAACAGTATATTAGATCTTTAGTAGACAGGCAGGATTGTACTAATTTCTGAAAGAATATGGGAAGGTATTTAAGTATCATGCACACCTTGCCTCTCTCCTGGAGTGTTGCTGAAGTTCTTGGTACCTTTTTTCTGGTTCACAGGAAGAAGAAGCCAGTCAGGAAGAGCTGCACTCCCAGAGCCTAGACCAGCTGGGGAAGGAAGAAGCAGAAACTTCGGGAATGGAACACGTACAGAGAAACAACTTGAGTGACAACTCTTCCCAAAATGGTGTCTACCACATCTTGCCCAGGTCAAACATGCTGGGGTCTCAAGTGTCCAAGAACATTATCCAGCCACAGTCGGATGTGCACTTCTAGCAAACAGCCAAGTGCTCCCAATCTGGCTCCCACGGTACTAAGTCACTGTCAGTTGTTCCCCCACTGTTGAGATAATCCAGATAGCTGGACACAGACACCACTGTTGCCAGGAACAGTCTGTGTGAAAAATCAGGGCTGCTCTTCTTCAGTGTAATGATGTGTAATGTCACAGAGTAGAACTGCTACCCTTTCTCCCCCTGGTATTTCTGGAGTAGGTGAAATTTGGAACCAGGTAATGTATTAGGTTTCTGCCTCTGAACAAGCTGACACAAAGTCTCTTATCTATCCTTTCCCAAAAAGTAGGGACCCCAGAACTCTGAACACTTGTGTCCAGAGTGGCATATTGCAACTTGTTCCCAACACACACAATTGTCTGCAGAAAACAGATGTGATTATATTCAGTTTTCTTTACATTATAATCACTAGAGTGAGATGGAAAGAAGAAGTTTAGTTGTGTCTACCTGGTTACAGATGGTTTTGTTCTGCTGTAGTTTGTTTCCAGATTACCATGGTAACCTTCCCTGTATCTTAGATTCAGATGTTGAGAGAAGAGGATACTAACACCTAACTTTGGACAACTAAAATTAGAAATGACTGACAGTTTAATTGGGAGGAAATCTGAAATACTCTAAACTAAGAACCAGTTGTTATTGGTAAAGTCTTGGGTCTGAGTGTTAGGGAACAAACTTCTGGTTATGTGGTTTTCAACACAGCTGTTGATGCTCTATCATTTTTTTTCACATTCCTTAAATTGCATCTCAAGGTTCTTCAAAAAACTAGCACCACATTTATGAAGCTGTGATCTTGCTTTTGCCAAGGAAACAATTTGCAGTTGTGGGTCCTGACACCATTTCAGTTGAAGAATATTGTGAAAATGAGATGTGTCTGTTTTTCAACCACATGCATGCAAAATACTTCTTTTCCAGGCATTTCTCCCTTTGCTGAGACTTCTCTTTCCTTCTAACTGGTGCAGAGTATTGCTGCTATTACAGGGTCACTGTAAATGTATTCCCAATATATTAATCACTGGTATTCTACAATAGTTAAACTCAATTAGACTCTGTAGGCTTAAAGCCAATAGAAATGTGAGTTGTACCAGGCAATTGCTAACAGCTCTCATTAGTGCTACCCTGTTTAAGCATGCTATGCAGTGCAGTGATAAGTTTCAGCTGCAAGGACTGAGCAGGAGCTGGGAGGAGGAGCTTGTCACCCAGCCCACAGTGAGCTTAGATTTTGGACTGGAGCTGTGGGTGCAGTAACTGGAGGCTGTCGCAATTCACTTCCCATCAGCAGGTCCTGCTGTTGGGAACAAGACTCACCCATGAGACATTGTCATGGTTCTTGACTCCCAGTTCCACTGAATTCAGAATTAAGCAAGATCTTCCCACCTTCAGCTTTTCCAGCTGAACTTGTATCAGTGGTGTTGCTTACTTCCTCCTGCTCTCTGCACTGAAGCTATTATCTTATTCAGAACTTCCCAAAATGGGCCTTTTCTTTTTTTTTTTTTTTCCCAAATTTTAATTAAACAGGAAATCTGTCTGCTAAATTGTATTTGAACAGAGGAGCTATGTGCTCTGTAATGGGCTTGAAGAGCACACGCAGCCCCTTGCAATTAACTAATTAGGTCCTTTATGTGTTGAAAGACATAGAGGGAGGTTCTTCCTTAAATTCATTTGTAAGACCCTCTTTTAGATCCTGGATCAATATCAGTCTGTGGTTACGGAGGCATAATTGCAAAATCAAAAATGGAGGCTCTTCGAGGTCTCTGAAGGAGTGCCTTTTCTACAGGCTCAAAATATTGGGTGAGGTTCTGAGTCTGTGTTACTGCATAGATATGAAATACTCGGGATGCCAATCTTTGAAGAACTAAATCTAACACCATGGGAGAGATCCAAGAAGCAACTTGAGGTGGTTGATCCTGTGCTAATGGACTCAGTGGAAGATATGTTGCTGGTTGAGGCTTAGACTCTGAAAAGAGCAATGATTACTGTGAAGGCAATATGATCCTGAAATCATGTCTTGCCAAGAAAATGAAGGTAAAAATTATTATCTGTAAGGCCTGGGTTTATAAAGCCTCAGATTTCTCACAGAAAGAATGTTTGTTTGGTTCTGCTCAAGAGAATAACCTTCTGCAGAGAAGGTGGCACAGGACCTCCCTCTTTGCATTGCTCAGTGTTTCTGTTTCCCTTTTCAGCTGTGCCAAACACCCACAACACCAGCCCCACGGATAACTTGCCCACTGAGGCAGGGATACTGCAGCACAGTGAAAGAGCCTGTCAGTAGGCATGGGAAGGCAACCTCCACCACCCTGCTCCTTTCTGCATAGGGACCCCCAGAAGTGTCAGGGGAAGCAGGGGAAGCACAGAGGACAATGGAGTGATAGCTGGACTCAGATCCATGGGACAGTGACCTGCAGCCTTAGGCAACCAGCTCACAGGCACTGTGGTCTGCTCTTTAGGGCAGCAGGAGAAACAAAATGGTCATGTTTGCGCTGCAGGGTTTGTTCTTGCCCAAAACTTGGGAAGCCAGCTTTCCCCTGCAAAGGGAGGGCAGGAGAGTCTTCACAGGGCCACTGCAGCTGGCAGAGATGCCTGCCCCTCACTCTGCCTCACTGTAGCCAGAAACTAGACTCTAGACCAGCTTGCCAAGGCTCCCCCTTTCCCACTGGCAAAAACAGCCTGGCAGCCTCTCCTCCTTTGGGCTTGGGGAGCAGTAGTCAGCCTGCTACACTGAGGAGCCCTAAACCAGCTCTGGCTGGAATTAGACAAGAACTGCAGGCTGTTGTGGTCTCCTGGGTCAGCTCCTTTCGCCCTTTCTGGCAGAAAGACCACTCCCTTCACCCTGTGCTGTGATTTTGATGGTGCCAGTGTTGCTCAGTGTATGAAAATTCTGTGACTGGCATGTGGCTGTGACTGCATTAATGTCTTCTCTCTTATGTGTAGCTCTCCATGCAACTGTGACTTATCTGTTCTATGTCCACATTGTCACATATATGATGTGTCCTAGAGTAGGGCAAGGAAATTACTTGTTCTCAGCAAGCGCTTGTGTGTAATTGTTAATTGTGTCTTCAAGCTGGTTAAGAAATAACATAAATACACTGAATGGTAAGTTCATACAGCTTTGCTTTTCACATGTGTGTTGTCAGGCCTCCTATCAGAAGCTGTTATAATTTAGATGATGTATGTCTGATGGGGAAAGTAAACTATTTTTTCCTCAAAAACGTAAGTGCGTAGCTATGTTTTATTTCAATCTGCAGAGGGGAGCCTTCCAAACTGCACTGTCCCAGCTGTGCCTTGAGGTGGTTAAAGTCTTTGGGAGGAGATTTGGAAAAGTATAAGGTGCTCTGAAGAGATACCACCACCACGGTTATGTACGTGTGCAGTCGCAGTGGATATGATCTGTCACCCATTCTGGTAGGTGCTGTGAGTGCTCCAGAGGGGCTGTCTTAGAGCACTCTCAGATTCAGCCAAGGGAGAAGGAAACAGTGTCCTAACCGTGGTTCCCAAACACAAAGTGAAGCACAGAGAGATTCACTGACGTGTGCAGGGAGGGGCACGGCAGAGACATCTGAAAGCAGGCTCAGGCATCTGGCAAGGGGCAGCCCCAACCAGTCATGGCCATGAGCTCCTGGTAGCATCTCTTCCCTGTGTCTCTCCAAGAATATGATGCCATTATCATGGCAACGACCAAGCCTTACTTTTCATGTTTAAAAAGAACACATAAATCTCCAGACCCCCCACAAATACAGCCAAGCTCTATTTATGTTATGTATTTATGTTATTTTATGTTACCTATCAGCCAGTTCTAGTTTACCAGTAGATGTCAGCACTATTCACAATCCTTTGCACCTACAGCCCCTTCTCATTCTGTTTTCAGAGGAGACCAGAAGCAAGTCTCCCATTTGTTTTACTCAGAGAAACTGAGTCAGAGAAAAATTTCTTTCTCGGTGTCAGAGGAAAGACAAAAGCAGAATTCAGGGTTTCCAACACAATGATACTAGACCCTCACACTCGTGTATTTGTTTCAGGCTTTATCTGTCTGGCAGATCCTTCTCCCTACAACCTGTAAGCAGGGTTTGTAGAGGTTTTGCTTATTTTTTTCAGTCTTGTAGAAAGTCCTTAATAAGTGCTATTATCAGCCTAGAGCTGCTGCTAACTGCTCAGCTTTTAGCACAGGAGGTTGTTGGCTGGAGACTGCCCTGCCCCTGACTCTTTTACAAACACACCCTACCAGGAATCACTTAAAAAGAAAAAAGCAACATCAAGGAAACTACTATCAGTATTCACAGAGTTTATCAGTAACTAGTGAAAAGGGAGGGGAGAAGCCAGCAGCACCTGATGCTCCAGCTGATTACAAACCCAGATGAAGTGTCATGCCATCCTTCTACTGGTCACAGAAGCCCTAACTCAGGGTCTCCAAACCTGAAAGCAAGGAGCCTGGTAGTGTGAGAGCATTAGAAGAAAGAGGAATTTCAGCTGAGTGCCAGGTCCAGCCCCTGTGCTGGGCTCAGAGGCCAGGAGATATGTCAACCTGAACATGTTTTGGAGAAAGATGGAAGAACTCAACGTTTGAGGAACTGACTAATAGGCCCTGCTCATGGCCAGGTTTCGGAGGTGGAGAATGCCAGGCGTAGCTCATTGCCAGTCAGCCATGCTGCACACATGCCAGGCACCTACACGGGTGGCAGAAGGGTGCCAGCCCCCTGGGGTGCGGTGAGCTAAGGCCCAGCCCTGGCTGAGGAGTGCTGAAGGAGGAATGCAAACGCTCAGTTGACATAACAATGGCTGTTCGATGATGGGTCTCCAGCCTGAAGTCAGCCAGGCTTTGCTGGGGCATGCCACAGCAAGTTACTGAGAGCCCATGTGCCAGGCAGTGACAGAGTTCTACAGCACAGGGTGTCCCAAACAGCTCTGGATAGTCCTATTTCCTGGGCACTGCCATCCACAGAAGGTACCAATCATTTCTCTGCTGGTACAGTCACCTCCAGGTGCCAGAAGGCACAGCAGCTTAAGAAACAGCCCCTCAGAGCAACATGCAAAGCAGGAGCTTGAAGCTGACTTTGCTTTTGCTGCCTGAGAAGAGACGGGGAAGCCATCCCCAAGAGGTCATTTCTAGTGGCTGTGACTACCTTCAGGGTTCTCTTCTGCAAAAAGCATCAGAAATAATAAGCAGAACAGACAGAAAAACCCCCATATATACGTGCATGTACACATGGACGCACACACCAACATATTGCTGTAATGTGTCAAACCACCCAGGTTGTTCAGACATGTCTGGAGTTCACAAAGTGAGCAGGCTTTGAAAGCATGTACAAAGATATCTGGGACAGACAAAAGGCCAGAGCTGCTTCTCAGTTTCTCATATAATAGACAACTGTTACGGCAACAAGAGATGGTAGGCTTTCTGAATCCTTTCAGGAATGCAGCCTCTTCTGCCTCAAAGGGTTTTATCCTCTTCAGGCCCAGAAGAAGCCATGCCACTAGCATGCATTCTCTGCCATGTAGGTACAACAACAGTGGAAGTCCCATAGAGTCTGGTCCCTGAGCTGCTTACTGGATCACATTGGTCAGTAAGACTATGAGTTTGCCCTCAAAAGAAGCAAACCATGGTGGAAGGAGACTTGTGACATCCAACCTTTGTCTAGGTCTTATAAGAACATCAACAGTGGAGGGAAAGTGCACAGTGTGGCACTGAAAGTCACCTTAGTCACCTCCTCTGTGTGCTGAACACACTGTTAAAGGCCTTTGCAGCTCTGATTTCACCAACCTTGTTAGGTTTGGCAGGATTTGTGAGAGATGGCAGGGACATCTCTCAGGAAGGAAACCCGCAGGGACTATGTTCATGCTTGCCTGTTCCTTGCACTGGGGAGGAGAAGGAAAGCCTTCTATGTGAATCGCCCAGCCAGGGCCCTGGTGGTTCAATGGAAGGCAGTGGTCTGTGGGCCACGTTTCACCTACAGAGGTCTTCTGCTCTGGTGAGATATGTAACAGCTTGGTAACAACTGTGTTGCTGAGGAAGTGCTTAGAGTAGAGCAGGAGAGAAGGCTGAAATGGATGGAGATCAGTGCACAAGTGGGAAGTGGAGACACTGGAGCGCAGAAACAAAATGCAGCAAAGCTCATTAGTGATCTTATTTTTAAACAGAACAGATTGCACTCGCATTG